TGCTATAGGGCGCGTGCACTCACCAGACAGACAGAGACAGACAGAGACAGAAAGCGAGAAATCATCCCCCAGTGGGGATGGCCATGCCACAATCCCTTCTCCACCATTCTCCTCTCGGGATCTTGGGCACGCACGTACACGTGCCCGGTGTGAGTTTAAGCCACCGGGTCCAGGACTCGAACCATGGTCGACTACGTGGGAGTCCAGCGACATAGCCATTACGTTAACTACTGGTCCCAAGGTTGGGGTTCTTGAAGCCAAGGAAGGGTGAGGCTCTGGAGCAGCCAACTGGGCCCAGGTCCTCATAACCATCTGACCCCCCCCCAAATCTAGCAGGGATGAGCCCATCTGAGAAGACTGTTGTAGACTGGGGACAAGCACACTTTTCTGGAGAGCCTCTGCCCAGGCTTTGTGTCCTTCCTTCAGTAGAGAACACGGAAAGACTGGACACATACCATTTCTACAGAGTCTCTACAGTGCTCCAGTGTAGTGGGGTTATTTTGAGCCTCAAGGTTGACTACACCGCAGGTCACAGGCCCCATCCCACCATTAGTAACAAGACCCCGAGGTCTGAACACACACACTAGGACTTCATGTGCTAGTTAATGTAACATATAAAACATCTCAGAGACTTGAATCAGACCTAAGTCTTTTTGTCCAAATCTGTTTCTGGAGTGACAAGAGCCTTGGATGACACTTAGTGGAAACTTCTGGAAGATTAGCCACTGAGGGAGTCCCTCCCCCCAACCACTTGTATTTTTTACATAGATGTCCCTGTTCTGGGCCTGCTGGACAGTACATGGCCACACCCAGGAAAATCCTCTGGTCTTGGGGAGGTTTCAGGTGGGGTTCAAGTTCAGGGTTTAGCTGCCTTGGGAAGAGTAGCTCCTCCAGGGGGTCCCCGGCGCTGTTCCTGTCCACATCTCCTCATCAGCTCGCCAATCTTCTGGTCCTTCAGCTTTACCAGATGCTCCAGCCTGACAACCTTCATCTGCAAAATCTTCAAAAAACACACAGAGGGACCAGCAGTTGGCATGATGGCTATGTTGCTGGACTCCCATGTAGTCGACCGCAGTTCGAGTCCCGGACCCGTTGGCTTAAACTCATGCCAGGCGCACGTGTGTGTGTGCCCAAGACCCCAAGAGGAGAATGGAGAAGGGATTGCAGCGTGGCCATCCTCCCTGGGGGGTGATTTCTCGCTTTCTGTCTCTCTGTCTTTCTGGTGAGCGCATGCGCCCTATGGCAAAAACCTCTCCAAAAAACCAAAACAAACAAACAACAATAAAAAGGCAGAAAAATACTAAAGAACACCAGGTACATCCAAGGAAGCCCCATCTGTTGCCAGCCAGCATCCAGCATGTCATGGCAGGGCCACGGGCCAAGGTCAGACCAAAGGCCCTCTCACAGATACCTAGGAAAGAGGTAGACATCAGGCTCACAGGACCCGGGGGGAGGCAATGGGCCATGGGAGGGGCTGGTTTTCCTTCCCTACCCTCTTCCTGCTCATTCCCAGGTCCCAGGCGTCCAGAGTGGCCAGACCTCCTGAAGCCTTCCGGGCCTCCCAGACTGCGCCCACTTCTGCACACAGCTGGAAGGACCAGGCTGTGGGGCAGAAACCGAGCCCAGCTTCAGGTACCTGGTGGATGCTCAGAGCATATTTGCTGAATTATTGACTAAATGAATGTACCACAGCTACACAATTATGTTCAGAGTTCAATTCTAAAAGTTAGTAACTGAAAAATGCTTGAAGCTGAAGGTGCAAGATGAGGTGCCAAGACTCCATGGCCTCCCTACCCTGTCCTTGGCTCTCCTCCCTTGGGCATAGCAGTTCAGAAGGGCTCTGGCTGCAGGCATGGGCCCTCCAAGCCTCCTTCAAGGATGAACACACCCCAAACCTTCCCTTCCCAGACACATGGATGTAGCCTAGTTCTAGCAGGTAAGAGTGAGAATAAGCTGGATTTGAAAGAGTTGATCTGGCTGAACACCATATTTTTAAGGTGAAGATAAGTGAATTGGCCCACACATAGGTAAGACTGGACAGCCTGACGTGGGATGGCAAAGGGTCAGTCCCTTAGCAGATCAAGCAAGATGAGGCTCCTCTGTGAACTCACAGGGACCCAGCAGGTCCATCACTGCCTCAGATGGCCTGTGCACAAATGTTCTGCTCCCCACACACACAGTACCTCACTCAGCGACCAACTGCAGAGGCAGGAGCAGCCCAAGGCCAGCACACTCAGTGAGCACTGTCCAGCATGATCAGCTCCTGCCCCTGCACGACCCAGGTTGCTCACTCGAGCTTGCTGACCATTGCCAACTAACTCCCACACGACTCCCCCGGGTTTCTAGATCCTATGGTGTGTCTCTCACATCAGTAGCAATTATGCAAACAGCACTAGATTATGTCACCATTGTAAATGGCAGATTATCTGTCTTTCACTCTGGGTTTCATAAAATAAAATAGGTATGATCCCTTTGTCAGTATGTGGGCTAGAGCCAGGAGTGGGCAGTGAGGGGCTAGCAATGACCATGCAGTGGAAGCAACTTCATTTCTCCTTGTTACTTCTTCTCCACTGTCCACATCCAAAGCCACATGATGATATCATTCTCCTGTTCTCTTTTTTTTGAGATGTTTTTGCTATAGGGCGTGTGCATTCGCCAGAAAGACAGAGACAGAGAGACAGAAAGCAAGAAATCATCCCCCAGGGGGGATGACCACATCACAATCCTTTCTCCTCCATTCTCCTCTTGGGATCTTAGGCACACACACACACGCACACGCACACGCACCCGGTGTGAGTTTAAGCCGCCAGGTCTGGGCCTCGAACCACGGTCAACTACATAGGAGTCCAGCGACATAGCCATTACGCTAACTGCTGGTCCCTCATTCTCCTGTTCTCTTAAAAAAACAACTTATTGGGCCAGCAGGTGGTGTAGCAGTTAAGGTGCTGGACTCCCACTTGGTCATCCATGGTTCAAGTCCCAGACCCAGTCGCTTGAAACTTATTCCAGGCACGTGTGTATACGTGCCCCAAATCCAGGGATTACAGTATGGTCATCCCCTCAGGGGGTGATTTCGCCCTTTCTGTCTGTCTCTCTGGCAGCTGTATATACCTATAGCAAAAATCACTCAAAAAAAAAAAAAAAGAAAGAAAGAAAGAAAGAGAAAGAGTAAGGAAAGAAAGAAAGAGAGAAAAAGAAAGGAAGGAAAGAAGAAAGAGAGAGTGATGAGGAGGGAAGGGAGAGAGGAAGGGGAGGAGAAAGTAGGGAGGGAAAGAAAGAGAAAAATATCTGGGGACCATTCAGGAACTGCTATGCCATTGCCAATTCTGACAGTCCCTTTGATGCTGAGACCAACCCAGTGTGGCCCTCACCTCCACCCTCCACATATTGTCTTTTTTTTTTTTTTTAAGAGGTTTTTGCCTTAGGGCATGTGTGGACACCTGAGAGAGAAAGAGACAGAGACAGTGAAAGAGAAAGTGAGAACCATCCCACCCCTCAAGAGGGACGGCCATGCTGCAGTCCCTTCTCCTTCATTCTCCTGGGATCTTAGGCGAGCACACACAAACACCCCCCGCAGGCCCTTCTCCTCCATTCTCCCCCTGGGATCTTAGGCACACATACACACACACAAACACACACACACACACACACATACCTGGCGTGAGTTTCAAGCCACAGGGTCCAGAACACGAACTGTGGTCAGTCATGTGGGAGTCTAGTGATATAATTGCTATGCCATCTGCCGGCACTCACCTTTTTTTAAAAGAGATTTTTGTTATAGGGTGCATGCGCTCGCCAGAGAGACAAAGAGACAGAAAGGAAGAAATCACTCCCCAGGGGGAATGGCCATGCTGCAATCCATTCTCCTTCATTCTTCTCTCAGGATTTTGGGCATGGACACATGTGTGACCATTGCCAACTCCCCGATAACTCACACACACACACACACACACACACACACACCCACCTGGCATTAGTTTCAAGCCGCTGGGTTCAGGACTCAAACTGTGGTCAACCACATGGGAGTCCAGCACATTAACCACTATGCCATCTGCTGGCCCCTCCACACACTGTGCCCCTACCATAGGGCAGGGAAACGAGGGCAGCCAGGGGTTTCCTCGGTGCAGGAACACTAAAGATCCTAGGTGGAAAGGTAGACACAGGTGTACACTGACAGCCAGGTTGCACTGCAGAGCCATGTGCACACCACAGAACTGGTTTATGTCCACAAAAGCAGTTGTGTGTGCCAAGCAGGGAGTGTACCACATATTTACGAGGAACCCCAGGTTGGGTGGGTGCTTCCTGGGCCCCTGGACCCTCTGGCTGAGTCTCCTGTGCTAATGCAGACAGGGAGAAGGGGCTCGACTTGGGCTAGTGTGGGAGGACAGGCAGGACACTCTTGGCCAATACCTCCTTCCCCATCTACTTCCCAGGTGCTCACCACAGGAGGGGGACACTCTCTGCTCCCTGACCTGGGCTCCCATGGCCTGAGCTGACCAGCTAATACTTCTGGATGATGCGCCTGTGGCCTCATTTGTACCTCTCCCCCCTTATTAGGCTCCAGGACTGATAAGGCTGGGTGGTGAGCACATGATGGTCTATCACACACTTTTGTGGAAGAGGGTTAGTGAAAACAAAGGAGGTGCTCTCTCTGAAATGCTGATTGTCCGTCCCTCTGCTTCCTGATCCCTCAGCTCACAGGGTGTCCAGGCAGTGAGAGGCACCCAGGTCGGCCCTACCTTAACTACCTCCTGCAGGATGGCCAGCGCCTGCTCCTTGTCCTCCAGCAGCTGCTGGACACCGGGGTCCCCGCTGAAAGGCAGATGCCATCCTTGAATCCAGCTGGTAGAGGACAGGGGATGGGCTGGGGGTGGGTGAGAGGTAGGACAGGTACAGGGTCGGAGAGCCAGTTACCCACCCTCCACAAGCACTGCAGCCCATCCTCTCCAGAGCCCCGTGATTCTGAAGGGTGTTCACGCCTGTGTGATAAACAAACACTGTGAGCTCAGGGCCTCCACCTCAGAGAGCAGCCCACCCAGCAACAGCAGCTCACATGGGTGGGATCAGGGCTCTGCCCCTATAGCTCTATGCAGGGGCTTGGCTTTGGTATATTGTAGGGACTCCTGGATACCTCTCACCAGATTCCCCATTTGGCAACGTGTCACTTGAATAATGACCACCCTGCATGGGGGGGGGGCTGGGCTCCCACTCAGGGTTTGCTCTAGGTGTTAATGGAGCCAGGCTACCTTCAAGGCAAGGAGTTGTCCTCAGAGGCCAGCTAGGCCCACTGAGTCCCGTGTACACCTGAGCACACCTGCCCTCCCTTGCAGTTGTGTAACTCACAAGTGCAACATGCCTCATGTCTATGGTGACATCCTTTACAGGAGGCCCAGAGGGGCTGACAGACTTGCCCGCATTGGGGGTGTGTGAATACTACCAGTGTGTGGGGGGGTGGTAAGCTCTGCCCAAGGTCCAACAGCATCGACTCTGGACAATCCTGGATCCTGCAGATTTGAAAGGTTGCAAATGTGACATGTGGCCAGGGGAAGGGCCATACCTGCCTCATTGCCAACATTATCTCCTGTGGTTTCCCAGTCACTACAGGGAGAGGGTATGGCCTGGACTGCTGCAGGTGGGATGGCAGCTTTGGAAGGAGCAGTTCCAAAGGGCGTTCTCACTGCCCAAAGGTATTTAGGCCAGGCTGGGAAGGGGGCCAAGGGTCTGGGAAGGGTGCAAGCCTAGGCCAGGACTGCAGTTGAATCACGGGGCCACAGGGCTCACTATTTACTTCTTGGCTTTATTCTTATACAGGTTATTCAACTGCATGCAAATACCGACAGCAACAGCAGGAACTCAGGCTTTACCGATGGGCACCAACACGTACAGCTGTGCTGGGTGGGTTGGCGAAAGCAGCACCACTCTCCACCTTGTCCCTCAGCACGCACAAGATGGGCTCGATGGCTCCAGGCGTATTGGCCACCACCTTACGGATGTCAGTCTCTGAGACACAGAAGCGCAGCTTGTGAAAGACTTTCCTGCAAAGATGGCAGGGGGCACGGCCCTCAGAGCAGTGTGCTCCACGGGGTCAGTGCTGGGCTGCTGTCCTCGGGCCACAGAGTCAAGCCTGGCTTTCTTCAGAGGACAGAGGCTTGAGCTAAGGTCCTGTCCAGCGGGCAGTGTCCTATCAGGCGTTCACAGAACACTATCCCCTGCCATCAGGCGGGGTTTGTCCTCCTAGGCCAAATGTCTCAGGGGCTCTCAGGGGAGTCCCCTTCTTCCTGACTGAATTGTCCTCTGCTCCATGAGGAAGTCCTGCAGGTCCACCTCTAAAGTATCAGGAATCTGATTTCTCCTTACCATTTCTAGTGCTGACATTGCCCTTGCACTGGTAGGTTTGGGCTGCTGCCTCCACCTCTCCTGAGTCTACTCACAGCCCTTTGGAATTCAAGTCCTATCAGAATCTGCCCAGGTCACAACGCTGTGGTGCCACTATCTCCAACTAGGCTGGAAGCCCCATCTCAGCATAGCTTCCAGGGCTCCTGGGCTGGCCATGAGCCTCTCAGCCCTGCCCTCGGGGCTCCCTTGCCCCACAGCTTTGTTCCTAAGCTCTCTAGGTAAGCCCATCTGCCCCACAGGGATTGTCATTCTCCATGCACCCGCCTTAACACCACCCGGCAGCTCTGCTCACTCTGCTCAATGTACTTCCTCTGGGGTCCTTCCAGGTTCCCCACCTCTGACATCTGTCTGCCCAACCTCGGCTCACTATTCATTTTACACCTGACACTCTGGTGACTCTTCATCACCCATGTGCAAACCACCAGGTTCTCAGCTCCAAAGACAGGGATCTATCCGCCGCCATGTCAGCAGGCCGGAGCAGAGCCCAGCACCTAGAACAGTTGCTAAGTGAGTGAAGAGTGCAAGGCTCAGGTGAGCAGGGCTAGTGCTGACAGGGCTGATCTGGCACGGAACTCCCAGGCTCCCCCCTGGCTGCTGATGAGATTCTGATGGAGAGGACACACACGATGAAGCAGGCGCCAGGAAACTTGTCCCAGAAAGGCCACCAACCCAGGGTCAGACTTGGAGGGAGGAGCTTCCAGAGAGTGAGGAGGCTTCAACAAAAAAAGGGAAGGTGGCCAGAGTGCAGGGGCCTGTGCAGAAACCTGGCATGGACAGAGCTGGGCTGGGGACAGTGGCCCACCCAGTGCTCGGATCGCTTGCCTGTTGAGGATGCTCCAGTTGCTGAGCTTCTGGTCCGTGTTGCAGGTGGGGATGTAGTTGTGCAGGTCCACAAGCCGGGGGTGGAAGTGCTTCACAATCTCTGCTAGCATCACTGTGGATTTGTGGGCGGGGTGGGGGTGCAAGGTCAGCCTCACCTAGGAAACTAAGATTTGCTTGTTTTCTTACATCACTGCTGTCTCCCATGGCCTCTTCTGGTAGATGAGGACAGAAAAGAGACCAGAGAGAAAGAGGAACAGGTTTGTCCCCAGAGATACCAGGCCCCTGCACCTGGCAGCTGGGAGGACCAAGTGCTAGGATTCACGGTGCTGAGACAGGGCAGGAGCTCCCACAAGGAGTGGGTGCCCCCTTCGGGGAGAAGGTGGTAAGATGAGCAGCTGAGGGAAGCAAGCTCGAGTCCTGCCACCATCCTCCCCAGGGAATAGGGGGGGGGTACTGAGGAGGACTCCCCAACAATGGGTTTACGTGGCCCTTCTCCACACACCAGAATCCTCTGGAACTCTCATTGTGGTCGGACACCCTCACTTTTTCCACCCTTGAACCCTCAGCGCGCCCTTCATCCCCCTATTCTGGAATCTTCTGCATTTTGCAGGGCCCCCAGGAGACACTGCTTGTGGCTGGCCGTCCCATCCGACGGGCCCAGGCTGGAGGCTCTTGTTGCCTCCCTCGGCCTCGGTACCCCATGCAGGTCGGGACTGGTGGTTCCCCTAAGTGGAGAGCTCCAGGCCTGAGCCGCCGGCCTACCAGTGTCCTACGACCCCCACCAGACACGCCCTCACCGCCGTCGCTGAAGTCCCGGGCCAGGTGGCGTTTGGGGCGACTGAGCGGAAGCCTGTCCAGCCAGGCGTACAGGCCGCGAAGGGCGTTTGGCGACAGCGGCGAGAGGGCAGAGGGGCTCTGTCTAGCAGTGCCGAGCATAGCGGGCTGAGTGTTGAGGCCGTTGCTAGGGAACGGGGCCGGAAGGGGCGGGGCTTTGGGCTGTTGGTAGAGTGCGTTGTCAAGAGATGCGGTCAGATGCGGGGCTTGCTGTGGCGTCGTTGCCAGGAGCGGGGTTGTTACCCGGTAATGTTAGGTTCCAGTTCTTGGGTCTGACTAGCCCTGCCCCCACTGGGAATGTTTAAGGTAGGGGAGAGTTTTTTGTTTTTAATATTTATTTATTTTTTTGGAGAGGTTTTTTGCTATAGGGCGCGCGCGCTCGCCAGACAGAGACATAAAGCGAGAAATCACCCCCTCCAGAGGGGATGGCCACGCTGCAGTCCCTTCTCCATTCTCCTCTTTGGATCTTGGGCACCCACGCACACGCACCCGTTGTGAGTTTTAAGCCACCGGGTCCGGGTCCGGGACGCGAACCGCGGTCGACGTGGGAGTCCAGAGACATAGCCATTACACTAACTGCTGGTCCCAATATTTATCTGTTTATTTGTTGTGATTTTCAAGCTGCCGGATCTCAGACTGGAACCGTGATGAACCATGTGGGAATCTAGTGTCTTAACCACCATGCTGGCCCTCCTGAAGGGGAGAGTTTAAGATTAAAATCTAGGGAGAAAGGAAGGTAAAAATAGTTTGACTTGATCTGTTTACAGCAACCAGTTTAACAAGCATCAGACCCTTAAATCTTGTAAGTTGAAATCCGCTTTAACATGTGCTCTTTTCCACTGACCCAATGAAATATCCCTTTATTTAGAATTTGTCAATAATTTATTAGTAAAACACAGAATTTTCACACTTAAGGCACAGTTTTTCAGCTCTGTTGAATGTACCTAAGGTTTCAAGGGAATCAAAAAAAGAGCTAATTCTCCCACAGTTTTTTTTAAATAAAGGTGCTCCCTACACCTAAACACACATGCATGCACACACACACATACACACACACACACAGAACCACAGTTTTTCCTACTTAGATCTCATGGGAAACAGGCTCCTAAAATTGAAGGACTTAGAGCCTGGATGTAGATACAATACACTCACTGACACCCTCTTAAAAGGAAAAACGCCCAAAGCTAACCTGATCTGGGAGAGGGGATCATCAGGCAGTGAGCTCTTCCTGATGAGCAACATAAACACAGGCCTGGAACTAACAGGTGTGTAGAGCAACTGGGAGCTTAGGAGGCCTGAATGCAGGTATAGAAGCTGGAGGGGGTGCATCCCTTGCCCTTGACAACTAGAAGGCCGGTGGTCACCTAGGCATGTACATGGCAGCTGATAGCTCATCCCCACCCTACTGGCTGTAAATGCATGTATTGGGGCTAAGCTAAGGGGGGTGAAAAGAGACTGGCCATGAAGAACTGGATTGGCTCCTGCTGGACAGCAAGAGCCTACTTGGCAAATGCATTCCTGAGGTCAGACCAGCAGGAGAGAGTCCAATCCCAAAGTCAAACTGAGAGCCTGTGGATGTGGACCAGGCATGCTGAGGAGCTTGGCTCTTCTACCGTGACTTTTCCAAACTTCCAGGCAGGTGTACATGTACCCCTCACGGTGCTCTGAGAGCTCCATCTCTGTCACCTCCTTTGGACAGGAGGCACGGGAGGCTTCAGAGCAACCTTTGGGCCAATGGCCCCCTTGAAGGAAGAAAAGAGAACTGATATTAAAATCTACTGGGGCCAGCAAGTGGCGTGGTGGTTAAAGCACTGGATCCCACATGGCTTACTTCATGGTTTGAGTCCTAGACCCAGTGGCTTAAAAATCAGGCTGGGGAGACCAGCAGGTGGCATGGGTGGTTAGAGGTGCTGGACCCTCAACTCACATGGCTGACTGTGGTTCGAGTCTCGGACCTAGGGGCTTGCTTTCTTGCTTTCTCTTTCTCACTCTCACTCTATCCCTCTGGTCAAATTAAAATAAATAATTATTTTTTTAAAAAACCACACTGGGAGTTGGGGTGGTGGTTGAGGCGGCAGTACTCCCACATGGCTGACTGCCCTTTGGGTCCTGGGCCTGGCACCTTACTTTCTCACTTTCCCTCTTTTTTCCTCTGGTCAATTTAAAATAATAATAATGATAATCTGATAAAATTAAATAAATAATTCTTTAAAAAAATCATGCCAAGCACATGGGCATGTGTGTCCGAGCGGAGACTGGAGAAGAAATTGTGATGTGACCATCCCCCCCAGGGGGTGATTTTTCACTTTCTCTCTGTCTCTGTCTCTCTCTGCTGAGTGCACGTGACTTATAGAAAAATTAAACAACAAAAACGAAACAAAACACCTACTAAGACCAGCCTCATAGCACAGTGGTTAAGTGCCGTCCACTGGGAGCCAGATCCCATATTGCTGACCACAGCTGGAATCCCAGCCTCAGTGGCTTGAGGAGTAGGCTGGGTACATGTGTTTGCATGCCCAAAATCCTCATGGAAGGCAGAAATGGATAAAATAAGAACTGTACTATGACCACGTCCCATTGCAGGGTGTTCTCTCGCTTTCTTTCTCTGGACAAGCTCACAGCTCTGGCAGTTATAGAAACAAAAACCAAAAACTTACCTAGTACAAAAATGAATCTTTCTTGCTTCTACATTTCTTTTTTTTCTTTTAAAGACTTATTTACTCAATTTTTATCATTATTACTATTATTTAATTTACCAGAGACAGAAATGGAGGGAAAGTGAGAAAGCAAGCTACCAGGTCCAGGACTTGAACCACATCACCATGCCATGTGCTGGTCCGCTTCCACATTTCTTAAAATTTACAATAGTTCCAGACAGCACGTGATGTGGTGATTAAGGTGCTGGACTCCCACATGGCTGACCGTGGTTCGAGTCCCGGACATGGTGGCCTGATTTCTCACTTTCTTTCTCTCTCTATCTCTGTCCCTCTCTGATGGCTATACCAAATTAGAAAATAATACTAACAATAAATAAATAAAATAAAATAAGCAATTCATTTTTAAAAATTTAGAATAGTTCATATAACAGTTCAAAGGCAGTATATACACAATGATGGTCACTGTGATAGCCCAATATTAATAGCAAACACTTATATAAAAGATGAATTTCTTACACTAGTGGGGAGAAAATAAAATTTACAGCCAGAAAAAGCTGCAGTCACTGAAAAGTCCTCTGACAGATTATAAGCAGACATTAAAATAAGTCTACAGCTAATGAATTTTCCATGTTTTTAAAATAATCACCAATTTTGTCAGTTTATCAGCCAATTTTTAAAGAAATTCCCCACCCTCCAGGGCAGTGCCACAGTCAGCCCACTGGGGGAGGTCTGCTATCTTTCGCCCCTGCACAGACACTGCACTGTGTGTGTATGTGTGGAGGGTGCTTACCTGAGTCAGGCCAGGCTTGGCTCCTCCAGTCCCAGGTTTGACTGGTGGCATTGGGGGTGCAGAGGTCGGCTTGACAATCTGGAAGGGGTGCAGACACAGCTGAGTGTGGATGCCACCTCAATGGTCTAGGCCCTCACCAGGGGCATGATCTTCCTCAGCACCTTGGAGCAAAGCTCCCTCTGGGCCTCTGCTCTGCTCCAGAATGGCCTGCCTTCACTGAGCTCTCTTTACAGAAAAACCCTTTGTGGCTGCTTCTACCCACAGACTAAAGCCCAAACAGAGCTGGGGATCAGTAGGTGGCATGATGGTTAAGGTGCTGGACACTCCCACACGGCCGACCATAGTTCGAGTCCCGGACCTGGTAGCTTGCTTTCTCACTTTCTCTCTCTCTCGCTCTCTCTGTTTTTTCTTTCTCTTTGGTCAAATTAAAATAAAATGAATGAATAAATAAAAATTAAAAAACAGAATATTAAAAAAAAAAAAATAGCCCAAACAGAACAGGGCTCCCATTCCTAGGCCCATCTGCCCGAACCCATCTCATAGTCTCATCTATGATACCCCCACCAAATCCCTACCCTTATAAAACTCTCAGATTGCCAGAACATAGATGTTTGGAAGCTGGAAAGCCAAGAATTAACCTAAACATGCATTTGTTTGCATTTCTGGGAGGCCAGGCTCTGGGGTGGAGGAGGAAGGCAACCAGGCAGAGCTGTGGTGCCTACCCTGTGTGCATGTCACCCTAGGCAGGTCGGCAGAGTGGGCCAAACATTTGTAGTTTTCAGCAGCTCCCAAGGATCCTGCTGAGCAGCCCATGGGAGATCCACAGGAGAACTCTTTTCCTCTTGCTGGGGAGGCACAACCTCCTTGCAGCCTTTGTCTCTGCCTGCTGCTCACGTGACTCTTACCACTTCCTTGGCCCGAAAGCTCTGCCCATCCTGCCCTGATTTTGCCTGTCAAGACTCCTCTTGGGACTATTTTTGAAACTCTTACATAAGTATAAAAGTAGTTCAGATAAAAAGTTAAAAAGGAAACAGAGATAGAAAATCAATAAGAAGCAAACACCACAGTAACGATTGCGGATAATGTTGACTGATAGCTGCTACAAAGTAGTAGGTCAAAGTTTAAGGGGAGGGCCAGTTCAAGACATGGTGGCTAAGATGGCTGGATCCCACATGACTGATGGTGCCATTCAAGTCCCAGACCTGCTGGCAAGAAAATCATGCTGGGCACCATGTATACCCAAAATCCTGAGAGGAAAACGGAGAAGGGATTGTGGCAGAGCCACCCACCCTAGGAGGTGCTTTCTCACTCCCCTCCCCCCCTTTCTTTGTCTGTCTCTCTCTGGCAAAGTGCATGTGCCCTATAGAAAATTTTTAAAAAAGTTTAAGGGGAAACAGTATTTAGAGTCAAAGTATCTCTCCAAAGGTATTTATTTATTTAACATTTTACTATAGGCACATGTGCTCATGGGAGAGAGATGGGAGTGGGGAGTGAGAAAGCATTCCCAAAGGGGGATTGCCACAATGCAATGCCTACTCCATTCTCCTCTTAGGATTTTGGGCATGCATACACATGTACTTGTGTGGTTTTCAAGCCACCATATCCCAGACTTGAACCACACAGTTGGCCATATGGGTTTCAGCCACCTTAACTACCACACCACAGCAGGCCCCATCCTGCCCTCTTTGTACCCACCACAATGAGGTTGGCAGAGGCCTCCCCAAAGAGGATGTCCAGCAACACTATGTGGGCAGCAGATCTGCTCGGCTGAGGCTTCTGTGCCAGACCCCAGAAGAGAAACCCTGGGCTCTTTTGCTGCCCCAGTGTTTGCTGGAAGCAGAGAACCTGTCTCCCACCAGGAAGTTAGTATGCAGGTCCTCCTCCAGCCAAGCCACTGCCCCAGAGTGACCATGAGGGCTAAGGCCAAGGCAAGGCCCCACTCCTCCCTACAGGGTTCCCAGGAATGAGAGAGGCACATAAGGTCAGACTCTCATGATTAGCGGAGAAGAGACTTTGGGCTTAGCCCAGGGACAGCATGAGAGGAAGACCCCCCAACATTGTAGGGGGATACTGAGGGAAGAAGAACCTGGGAATTAAACCTCAACTTGACCTACCAAGGCTCCAGTGACCCATATTTTGAAAGAGATCTTTTCAAAACTCCCAAAGCCTAATACTCAATTGAGTATTAGGATGGGGCTGGCCTAGTTTCTGGCACACTCTCTCAGTGCCTGGTGAGCGCCCCCTGCATTTTCTGTCCTGTAGGGGACCTTGGGCCTGTAGGAGGGGGGTGGTCCCTTCAAGTATGGTGGAATCCTCTTACCTGCTTGGGTTTCAGCTCTGGGAGGGGCTTGGTGGGTGGAGCAGCTCTGAGCTGATGGAAAGAGGAAGAGTCAGAACCTCACAAACCAGCCCTGTCCCTGTGTCTCTGAAGGACCTGAGACTGTACCTTTGCTCTCCCACAGCCTCCCCGAATCTGAGGTTCTGCTTAATGTCCTAGTGAGGGCAGGCTCACAACCCTTCTGTATGCAGCAGCTGCTACCTGGGACCCCTAGCCTAGGTGCAGTGCCTTCCACAGATGGGCCCCACCAAATATGGCTGCCAAGCCCTCCACTTCACAGATACCCTCCACCCAGCCTGGCTGTCCCAACCACCGCTACTCACCTGGTCTGGAGCCTGTTGGGTGTAGACAGGAACTGGGAAGGGTGGGGTGGACATGGTGGCTGGATGCTGCAGGGGACAGGGCCAGGTAGGAAGCAGGCATGGAGCAGAGCTCCCACCCCAAAACCCCCCACTAGTTCCAGGACCTAAGGGTCTTGCACCTCTCACACGGAGGAGGGGAAACAAAGCCCTTTTGTGGACTTGGGGAGGGGGTCTGTGCCAGCTCCCTGGTCCCTAAATGTGTAACCCTCACCCCTCACATTCGGTTCCCTCAGCCACGTGGATGCACATCCTGGAGCTAGAAAGCACCATGGGTGGCTGCACCTCAGTCCTTCCTTACACAGATCCCGCTGAGACTGAGAATATCTAAGCTGGCCTCTGAGCCACAATTAAGTCCAAACTCCAGTTCTGTCCCTGGCTCATGTGGGGCTTGGATATCCCACTCTTAGAGCTTTCTCTCCCACAAAGGACCACCATGGCAGCCATTCTCAGCCCCAGGGCTACCCTAGGGCCATATGAGTTAATTTACACAGAAGGGCTTTGTCTCAGCCCCTGGGACAAAAGGGTGGAGGAGCCAAGAGAGTCCCCTTATGTCAGGAGACAGTGCTTACAGCAGGGGGTGGCCACTTTGGAGTCACTGATGCAACCATGGGTGTGGGGTGCTGCCTAGGATGGGTTGGAGAAACCAGCTCTGGGGGGCCTGGAGTGGGGACTGAAGCTCCGCCCTTGGCTGGCACGCTGCTGCCCCCCGAGTGGAACAGGGGGTTGGAGAGTCCCATGGAGGTCTTGGGAGCTGCATTCCTGGGAAGGAAAACAGGAGGAGTCAGCACAGTGTGTCTTCGTCGTGGTGTCCTGGTCTCAAGACACAGGGGTTCCCAGGTCTGGGCTTCCCCAGTATCACATCCTCAGTCTAACTGGGGTCCCGCTCAGCTCCAGCAAAGTCCCAAAGAAGGTGGCAAGATGTGCAGGTCACAGCCATAAGAGACCAGGAGGTGGGTCTCTGAATAGGCAGTGACAGCTCCTCATGGCCTGGAGCCTCCATGGGTCACGCCAGGAGAGAGGCATGTGAAGACTACTGTGCACGTCTGCCCACTGTGGCTGGCCTGGTGGCCAAGGAGTTTCCTAGCTCCCGGCCCAGGCCTGCCTTAAGGAGGGTATCAAGGGGAACATCTTATGGTCATGGCTGTCTGCCTGGGGTGAACCCAGCTCCCCTGAGGGTGGGGCTTGTTGTGTGAAGAGCAGCTGTAGAGGCCATTTCCCAACAGCACCGAGCACAGGAAGTGCTTGTCACACACGCTGATGTGTTGTAACCTCCAGTGTCCTCACCTCTTGTGAATACGGTTCCAGCTCTTGCGATGGACAATGACGCCTGCCAGGATGACCAGCATGGCAACAAGGAGCACCAGAGGCACCAGCACACTGACCTGGAAGCTCCTGGGTGCTGTGGAGACACAGCTGCACGTCAACCTAAGGAAGTGGGGTCTAGGAGAATCCTCGGGAGACATAGCTGTTCTCAGCCCCCCATGGTCATGCTCTGGGCCATGGGGGCTTCTACTGCTGCACCTGCCCCTCTCCCCACACATGAAGACCCCTCAGTGGAGGACCCAGTACATTACACCAGTGCTCCCAGCTCTCTGGTAACAGGTTGGAGAGTGTGGCAGAAGGGGGTTCCAGGCCTATAGTGCCACAGGCAAGGCTGGGCCAGGCCCATGAGGCTATGGTGCTGTAGAGAGCTGTATGTTCAGTGGCCACTGGAGAGGAAGACTGTCGGGTGGGTGGCCCCAGGTTCCTGAGCCAAGGGAAGGCTGGAGGACATGGGCTGATGGTGGCCTAGAGGCTCAGCTCAGAGCTAGACACTGTCCTTGGCCCCCTTCCATGCCCTGTCCTTTAGGATAAGGCTTCTCATGTTGGCCCAAAATGGGAACACAGAATCCCTCCTGGGCCCTGCCTTATACCTGTGGATCAGTGGCCAGGGGCTGCAAACTGGAACCTTGAACACTATCCCTCATGGTTCCTGGGCATGCGGCTTATGCCTCAGCCCCAGCCTCATCATGGGGCCCCTATAGGCTCAGGCTTTGGGAGTGGGGTCTGCGGGGACAGCCTGGGCCCTACCTGAACGCCTGTCAGTCAGTAGCTTTGCACAATGGGGTGGGGCCCAGCCGGCGTGGCAGTGACCTT